AAAAGTCTTTAAGTTTATCCTCATAAATGATTTTCCCATGTGAAAGGTCCAGGAATGATGAAAACAAATGGCTTTTACTCCATGTGGTTTAGTGATGCATGTTTGAGAGATATGCTCTGCTGGAGGAATGTAGTAGAATGTTGTTGAAAGTGACAAAAATAGTAATTTGCCTTTGAAAATGTCTTTATATTTGCATAATTAATTGCATATTTAGAGAGTTTATGTTCTAGCGTAAGTTTCTACATGACCCTTTTATGGAAAAGTGTTGCATATTCACCTGACTTCAATATATATTTGTTCTTTTTTTTTCTAGAAGATACATATGAACGAACCCTGATGGTTGATGGGGAAAGTGCAACAATTATACTCCTGGATATGTGGGAAAATAAGGTATGCAGAGCCTGTAGCTCTCTAAATTCCTTCGGGGGTTTTCCTTCCAACAAGCTGTTTGGTGTGAGGGGGACCTTGTCCTGTATAGTGGGTATTGTAGATGAGGTGGGCTCATTTTCTTGATTAAAAGCATGCTTCTGAAGAATGAGACCATTCTGAGGAACAGGTCGTTCACAGATGAGTTCTGAATAACAAGCAAGTTGTAGTGACTTGCCTTTAGTTCTATTAAAAAACACACCAAAAACGTGTATTTGTTTTAGGGAAAACACAAACAGGCATGGACTGTTGCTTTAAATAACATAAATCCATCTCATCTGAAGTTGAGATTCTCAATACTAATTTGCAACATTGGCTTTTTAAAGATTTCGAAATGCCTCAGAACCTATGTGGTAGACTTCTGTTTATTGAAAATCCCTCCTAGTCCCCACAAAAGTGTTCTTAATCTCATCACTTGGAAAGGCAAAAGGGAGTTTTTGAGAAGTCAGCAAAGGCTCATTTATGGTAGATTAAGTAGAAATTGGAAATGCTGTTTGGCAGAGTAGTTGTGTAATTTATCAACTCAAGCTGCAGAAGACATTGAAAAGTAAAAACTTTTTGGCATAAATACTGGACAGGCTAGCCATCTTTCCAGCCACCAAACATCTTGTAGGCATGGAAGACCAATGCTTTTGGAGAGCTGGAAGCAATTTCTTCCTTTCTTCTATCAGCAAGGGTACTTTAGGATACATGTATTGTTTCTTTGGTAACTGACGCTTCATTCCCCACGTCAAATTGAACTCACAGAAGATCTTATTGTTTCATTAGGGGGAGAATGAATGGCTTCACGACCACTGCATGCAGGTCGGGGACGCATACCTGATTGTCTACTCAATCACGGACCGAGCGAGCTTCGAGAAGGCATCTGAGCTGCGAATCCAGCTCCGCAGGGCCCGGCAGACAGAGGACATTCCCATCATTTTGGTTGGCAACAAAAGTGACTTAGTCCGGTGCCGGGAAGTGTCTGTATCAGGTAAGAGGAGTAGAGCCAGTACCGTAGAAACAATCTCTGGGCCACGTGTGTTTTCCTTTGGTCAAGGGCTCTTCCTTCCTTCTGGGAGGCTGGATCCAGGAACTCATTAAGATGCTATATGAAATTTTAGGTGTATTTCTAAGTCTCCTACTGCTGCAATGGGTCTCCTCCACACTGGTTGCTCTCCCTTGTCCATGTGGTCTACCTGCAGGGTGCTAATCTTCCTGCTTCCAAGCGGTTTCCTGGAATTCCCAAGAGTACAGGGAAATGAAAGGAGCTTCTTCATGCAGGAAGGATAGGAAACTCTGATTTAGGAGAACCATGAGAAAGAGTTTCATTGAAGAAAAAGAATTCTACTCTGGCTGACTCTGGTCCCTGTACACCCTAGAAACACTGTCCTACTCCGCATCCCTGGCTTCTGAAATTTCAGTTAAAGCATCAGTCTGATGGTGTCACATATTCTTCTTCATACTTAGTTCAGGGAAAATCTCTGTCTGCTGAGCGGGCACCCAGGTGCTTTTACAGCCCTTGAGATTTTACTGGCCTAATTCAGACTTGATCCCTGATACAATTATAAAAATAAAATACTGCATTGCCAGGCACTGCTCAGGAGGAAAGACCACGTACATGCTAATAGAGGCAATGTACACATTAGTTTGGGAATGTCTTCCTACTAGGAACAACTGTCGACAGTATTTTCCCAAACCAAATCTTGCTGCATGATCATTAAACACAATGAAATATTTGAAATTGAGAATTGAGACTGTCTCAGAAAGGCTTGTATAATTTGCTCTAATTGAATTACACATTTGTAAAATTCTCAATTTTTTCCAAAGATATCTCATCATTGCTTTTTTTTCAGGAGAGGAAAGCCAAATAGTAGAATTCTTATTCTCAATTCAGGAAACTGGGTCAGGAGAAAGAGTTAAGAGTATGGGCTTGAGAATGGAGCAGGCCCGGCATCACTGCCACTTACAGGCTGTGTAAACTTCACCTGCAGGGGGCTCCCCTTGGTTTCTTCATGTATTTGATGGGGCTAGTAATGTATTTTCCAAGATTGTTGTGGACATTAAAAACAGTGTTTACAAAGAACTAAGCCTTGTTTTTGGCACATTGTAAGTCTGCAGTAAATTAAGGCTATGGCTTTTACTGTTATAACTAATATCACTGTATTTGATGAAATGGAACCTTCAGACAGTGAATTCATTGTGGACCAGGTCTAAAGCCCATAGTGCTTGCTTCCAGGGATCCTCCAGTGAGATATTTTCTATTCATGCCCTGGGAAGGCCCATGCCACAGTGGCGTCCTCTATCCACTGCATATATGACTGACTTAGTGTTACCTTGAAGAACCATCCAGCTTGACTGTGTGCTGTGCAGGACTGTGCTCTGCAGCCCCTCTGACCTCTTTCCCTTCCTTTGCTTCCCAGAAGGAAGAGCTTGCGCTGTGGTGTTCGACTGCAAGTTCATCGAGACCTCTGCGGCTGTCCAGCACAACGTGAAGGAGCTGTTTGAGGGCATCGTGCGGCAGGTGCGCCTTCGGCGGGACAGCAAGGAGAAGAACGAGCGGCGGCTGGCCTACCAGAAGAGGAAGGAGAGCATGCCCAGGAAAGCCAGGCGCTTCTGGGGCAAGATTGTGGCCAAAAACAACAAGAATATGGCCTTCAAGCTCAAGTCCAAATCCTGCCATGACCTCTCTGTGCTCTAGGAACCGAGAGTTACCCAAATGTCCCTTTGATGGACATTGTTGAAGGCCATTGGGACTAATAATCTATATTAGATTGGATACTTAAGTATTGTTAGATGTGGTTTCCCCCATTGTAGCAGGGAGCTAGTGTATTAGCCTCTTGGGCCACATGATGCATGGGAAATGAAAGATCTTTGTAAAGAGTCAGTATTTATTTCCAGGAAAAGCCTGACCTTGCTATTTGAACACCCAAGACTCATTAGAGGATGTGTTTGGTGTTCTCATGTGTTTCTTCTCTTTTGGATAGTAGAGAAGTAAAGCTTACAAAGAATGCCTAGAACAAGAACTTTTCATCATTAAAATTTTGCCCAGTGTTCTGATATGTGACTTTGAGGCCATTGGGTCATAAACAAATATAAGAAAGCTGTCAATGAGTTTATTCAAAGGGGGGAAAACTTTCTATGTATCTAAGATCCTTGGAGCTAGAATTGTAGAACTAAGCTCATCAGAATCATGACTATTACTGCTCCATCAAACTGTGAAAAGAAATGATGTGGACCTTGCTGGAAACTGAGGCTTAGCAAACAGTTTTTTTCAATGTCCACCAATACTTGTAGAATTGGGAACTGATACATGTACCCTTATAGGCTCAAAAATTATATATCTTACAATTTCTTATTTAGGGGTAAATTATTTGAATCAGATTCTATTTTGTCAAACCACCTTTTATGTTTTGTTATTTTTGAATTCATGGAGCCATCATAAAAATCAGAATTATTGATACCCTAGAGTGTAAAATGTCAATTTTTAATGTATAATTCAAAGTCTGAATTTTTATAAAACATATAGCATAAAAAATTCCAGTACTTTGGTTGACCCTTGTATGCCACAGCTCTGCTCTATTTATTATTATTTTGCAAAATAATCATTTTAACATTTGATAAAGCATATTTATGAACATATTTCTTAATAAGAAAAATATCCATTTTATTACCATTTTCTATCTTTTTCAAAATATGCAAGTTTTTACCTATATGTCTTATAATAAAAGAAATAAAATATTTGGAAAAAGGCATTCTTGATTGATTTTCCTCCCAAGCAAGATGATTAAGATTATTCTTCTGCAGCCTTTAGAGCAAGCACATATGGTATATTCCAAAGAGACATATACCTATTGTTTTTTTTCCTTTTCTCACTAGCAATAGCCCAGTAATCATCTGTTTTAAAGAGTATCCCTGACAGCTCTGCTCTGAAATCACAATTCATGATAATGCAAAGTTATTTTTGGCTGATACCATTGGAAAGTATTTGGGGTTATCTCAATGCTAAGTTATAGGAAAAGCCAGATTGACCTTTTATTTTGGTCTGGCACATGCCTGACTGAACAGATGGGCCTCACTTTGCTCCCTGGAGGCTCATGGTCTTCAGCTTGACTAAGGCATTAGAGGAAGTTATAAAGGATAAGGGGGAAATAAAATAAAGGAGACTAGTGATTTCCAGCCTGAGATCTAGCCAGGCAAAGCTTTCACCAAATTCTCCCCTCTGACATTAATACAGCTTGACATTAATCACTTGGCAGCTATCCAGCGACTGTGTGCAGCCCTTCTGCTGATTGAAACTTCCTGGTGTTCTCCCTTCTCATGTTCTCTGGCCCTATCTATATGCACCCCATTTCACTCTCATCTCCCTAGCTCTCTGAGTTTGTAGTCAGACACACTGATGGCGGCAATCATGGGACCTCAGACATTCTCTAAAGTGACACAGTTGTTGTTTTGAGACAGAGTCTCACTCTGTCACCCAGGCTGGAGTGCAGTGGTGTGATCTCAGCTCACTGCAACCTTCACCTTCTGGGTTCAAGCAATTCTCCTGTCATAGCCTCCCAAGTAGCTGGGACTACAGGCATGTACCACCACACCAGGCCAATTTTTTTTTTTTTTTGTATTTTTAGTAGAGACAGGGTTTCACCATATTGGCCAGACTGGTCTCGAACTCTTGACCTCAGGTGATCCACCTGCCTCTGCCTCCCAAAGTGCTGGGATTACAGGCATAAGCCATCATGCTTGGCCTTAAAACGACACAGTTTTAAAGGGTGTCTCTGCTCTGTTTTTGTGGTTCTTTCTCCTTTTCCAAGTTGAGCAAAAGGTTCCCATTTATAGCATGGGTTGATGATACAAGTAAAGTTTCAGGTTACATAGACCTGAGATGAATTTTGGCTGTGGAATTTAGCATCATGGCATTTGGAGTAAAGATTAAAGATTTCTAGCTATCAGTTTTCTCATCTGCAAAATGGGGTGGCTAATAATACCCACTTTGTAAGTCTGTTGTGAGATTCACATCTTTTAACCTGCCATACAGTAAAGAGCTCAAGAGAGGTTCATTTCATGGTTGCACATTTTCCATTCTGTAGCATTTAGACTTAGTTTTACATGTCTGTTTCCCCTAATTTCAATGGAAACGCCTTCAAATCAGGGACCACCACTTCTTTTCCTCCATACCCTTCTAGTCTTCAGTGTAGTGCACTGCATATATCAGGATTTTACTCACTTTCTTCTTGAACTCCACAGATCCTCCCAACACCTTCATGAGGTCAACAGGTCATTTCCCAGCAGACTAGTCCAGGTGGATAAATGTCTTGTCCAGTTTGTTCAGATGCTAAGTGTCTGAACTAGGACTGAAGTCCACATGTGACTTAGGGTCATTTGCATATTCTTATTTCCAAAACTTTTCTATAAACACAGCCTGTTTCATCCCCATGTATCATCCTACACGCGCGCACACACACACACACACACACAATGCATATACATTCTTTACACTACTTCCTTGTCACTTCTTTTAGACCTTTCCAACCAAATGGCCAACAGATCCAGGGCTCCCAGGTTTAAGGCTGTGTTCAGGATTGTCATGACCACATTCCCATGTCTTGAACCAGGGCAGGATAATGCAGGCTGCAATCGAACCGGAGAGAATTTTTGGTTAAGAGCTATAGCTTCGGGGTTAGACAAACCTGGGTTTCAATCTGGTTTCATCACTTCATGGATGTGTGGCCATGAATCAAGTTCTTTACTATCTCACAGCCTCAGTTTTCCCATCTGTAACATGGGAAGAATGCCCATCGCATAGGGTTGTGGTAAGGATTATGTGAGATCTGCAGAAGTTAAGTCATCATCTCGGGGATAGCACCAACGCCACCTGCTTTAGTGCAGCATCCACACCTTCACATACTCATGCATTCTTCAAATATTATTGGACGTCCAGGTGCTAACAGCTACTGGCAGTATAACGATGGCTAAGATATTATCCTCAACCTCAGAGACCTCAAGAGTAATAAATTTGTCCTAAAAAGCCAAAGGATCTAGCATTGGCAATAGGAAGAAAATGAAGACATTGTGAGGGGATTATACCAGGAAGGGACTGGATTTGCCACCATTAGATAAAATTTATATGATGCAAATTTATTGTTAAGATGATTTAGATGTGGGAAAGAAAATTAGGCCATTAAGGCCAGGTGCAGTGGCTCACACCTATAATCCCAGCACTTTGGAAGGCCAAGGTGGGCAGATCACAAAGTTAGGAGTTTGAGACCATCCTGGCCAGCATGGTGAAACCCTGTCTCTACTAAAAATACAAAAATTAGCCGGGTGTGTTGGTGTGTACCTGTAGTCCCAGCTACATGGGAGGCTGAGGCAGGAGAACTGCTTGAATCCAGAAGGCGGAGGTTGCAGTGAGCCGAGATTGTGCCATTGCACTCTAGCCTGGGTAACAGAGCCAGAATCCATCTTTAAAAAAAAGAAAAAAGAGAAAAAGAAAATTAGGCCATTAAAAAAATTCCATTTGGGGAAAGTGAGAGCATTGGAAAAAGGTGAGTTTTTAAGCATCCTACATTTTTGCTTATGAATACATAAACTATTCAATGCAAAGAAAGATAAAGATGATTATAAATATAAGCATCCTACATTTTTGCTTATGAATACATAAACTATTCAATGCAAAGAAAGATAAAGATGATTATAAATTCACTTGGGCAAATTTGTGGAGCTCCAGCTTCTGCAAAGTGCTGTGGAGAACACATGGTGGGAGGAAGCAGTTTTGCCTTTAAGGTGCTTGTAATATAGTTAACAGTGGCAGGAAGCAGATGTAGTAGGGAATGGAGACCACTGCACAGAAACCTAGAAGATGAGGTTGAAGATAATATGGGCTATTGGAGACATGTGCAATAAGGCAGTTGAGCTTGGGTGGGAGAAAAATCCTTTGCTTGGCTGTTGCAATACTGAATGTCTTCTTTTTTGCCTCCCTCCCTCTTTTCCTTCCCTCCCTCCCTCCCTCCCTCCCTCCCTCCCTCCCTCCCTCCCTCCCTCCCTCCCTCCCTTCCTTCCTTCCTTCCTTCCTTCCTTCCTTCCTTCCTTCTTTCTTCCTTTTTCTTCCTTTTTGAGACAGACTCATGCTATATTGCCCAGGTTGGAGTACAGTGGCACGATCTCAGCTCACTGCAACCTCTGCCTCCCAGGTTCAAGCAATTCTTCTGCCTCAGCCTCCAAAGCAGTTGCTTGACTTAGAGAAATGCAGCTGCCTTGTGAATAATTTGAGATTGTTTTGGAGTACACTTTCTTAAAAGGTATTTGCAATTTTATTTGCATATACATACATACCTATTATGCACGTATGTGTGTGTGTGCATTCAGATATATACACACACACATTACATACACATTTAAACCAGTCTTGACTCTGTATAGTTGGGAATTACAATTGGGTGCCACCACGCCCAGCTTATTTTGTCTTTTTTGTAGTAGTTGGGTTTCACTGTGTTGGCCAGGCTGGTCTTGAAGCCCTGGCCTCAAGTGATCTGCCCGCCTCAGCCTTCCAAAATGCTGGAATTATAGGCATGAGTCACTGCACCCAGCCCATGGATGTCTTCTTAGAGGAAGTGATGTTGAGCTTCATCTTGAAGACTATGCAAGATTTCCACAGGTAGGATTGGTTGAAAGGAAGAAAAAGGGAAAAATTGGCCTATGTAAAGAAAATAGCAATGACAGAGAGGCAGGAAAAGGAAAAATCTATATAGAAAAATGAGAGAAGTCCAGTTTGGCCAGGAGCTTTCTGGGGGGTGTTAAGTGAAGGTGTTAAATGTATGATGCTTAATAGTCAGAGAGATCTGGTTTCAAATTCCTACTTGTTGGGTGTAGTGGGTTAAACAGTCTTCCCCCACAACTTTGTGTCCACTTGAACCTCAAAATGTGACTTTATTGGGAAATAGGGTCTATGCAGATGCACTAGTTATAGAAATCACCCTGGATTAAGGGTGAACCCTAACTCCAACAGTGGTGCCTTTATAAGAGAAAGGAGAGAGATTTTGACACAGAGGGAACACAGAGAAGGCCATGCAGAGATTAGGGTTACAGTGCCAACGAATGTTTGCAAGCACCAGAGCTGAAGAGATAAGGAAGACGTTCCCCCCAACACCTTCAGAGGGTACATGGCCCTGCCATCATGATTTTTGGATTTTTATGCTCCAGAACTGGAAGAGTGTACATTTCTGTTATTTTAGGTCATCAAGTTTATGGTAGTATCAGTAGCCCTAAGAAACTAAATACTTTGGATTACTTAGGGCAAGTTAATCTTAATATGCCTCTATTTCTTCATCTGAAAAACAAGAATAATAACATCCATCTTGTAGGAATATCATTAGTAAAGCACTTTACTTATCAACTTATTGTTTGCCCAAGAGTTGGAGAGTGAGTGAACAGGAAGGACAAGTTGGGAAGCAATTGTAGAATACTCTGAGTTCCAAACTGAGAAATTTGGACTTGGCTCCGAAGATAATGCAGGTGCTTGAATATTTCTAAACAGGGGTGTGACAGATTAGAGTGGTGCTGCTTCAGGACATTGCCTAGAAGAGCTGAGCCTGGCAGGAACTGTTGTGGGCATCAGGCCCCACCCAGGGAGACCAATGAGGGAGCCACCACAATGCTGGGATGAGAGTAGTGGGTAAGGCGTTTCGGACAGAAGGAAGGAAGTCCTTCATCAGGGGCAGCCTCACCCCAGCATGTGCATTTGTTGTGCTTATTGGCTTAGAGAGCACACGTGTCCAACAGCAATCAAGGTTTTCTAGGAAAACACAACAGTCACACAGCAGCACAAAATGACAGCAGGAGAGAAAGGGAGCCATTCCTGGCAGACACAAGCCCTGGCCAAGGCCCGGGTGACAAGGTTGCACTGGAGTAAGATATGGAGTGCAGTTGTGTGACTGCATAGGAGACAGCCACAACACGATAAGAGACTCTACCTAAATCATCAGTAATTCACCCAGTCCAACCCCCGGGGAAAGGAGGAAGTAAACATTATCCACCTGTTTTTCTTGTCATGCAGCTAGGGAAAAAATAACGCATGCAAACCAAGGACATGAGGTTTTTAGCAAAGGAATACACAGGTGATTCTGTGTATGCATGCATGAATGCCTGTGTGTGTATGCCTGTGTGTGTGTGTGTGTGTGTGTGTGTGTGCGCGCACACGTGCGCCCTGGGGAATAGGGTAGAGGTGGGAGAGAGGGATTCACAGCTAAAGGAAAAGTAGAGTACTACAATTAGTAAGACAAGTATCAATGAGACGCCTGTCTTGCCCCACTTTTCAACACATATGTTCCAAACATGGGGATGCTGTCAGTCTTACTTATTCCAGCATCTATCAAGGAAGGTGAGCACCCTAGAGCATGCCCTTTCTGGAACTCAGAAAAAGTAATTGTTATTTCAGTTTGCTGGGATCATGCTCAAATAAATCAAAACAAAAATATCCTTGTATCTTCTGTTATGTTAATGTTTTAAACCACTTGATTACAAGTAGAGAAGCTATCCCCTTACTGTCAGGCTTCTGGAAAAGTCAAAATGCAGGAGGACTGAGAAGTACTCTTGCTAGTACCACTCAGAGGCCCCAAGGCAGATGCTTGACTTGGAGATATGCCACTGCCTTGTGGGTAATTTGAGATTGTTTGGGAGGATACTTTCTTGAAAGGTATTTGCAATTTTATTTACATATACATACATACTTATTATGCATATATGTGTGTGTGTGCACTCAGATATATACACACACACACACTACACACACATTTAAACCAGTCTTGATTAAAGATAGGGAATAATTGCAGTGTCGATGGCAGATATTTTATTGATTGATTTTTATTTGTATAAATGTATGAAGTACAAGTGTAATTTTGTGATACGGATATATTGCAGAGTGCTACAAAGTCAGGCTTTTAGGGTATTCCTCACCCAAATAAAGTACATTGTACACATTAAGTAATTTCTCATCCCTCACCCCCCTCCCACTTCCCCGTCCTTCCGGGTCTCCAATGTCTATGATTCCACACTCTTCGTCCATGTGCACACATTATTTAGTTCCCATTTATAAGTGAGACCATGCAGTATTTGTCTGTTTCTGAATTGTTTCACTTCAAATAATCGCTGCTAGTTCTACCCATCTTGCTGCTAAATACATGATTTTGTTCTTTTAAATGGCTGAATAGTAGTCCCTTGTGCATATATAGCACATTTTCTTCATCTGATCCAGAGGGCAGATATTCTAAAATAAGTATCTAATGGGGGAGTGCCTAATTCTAGGGGTACTCACAAACACAAAGAAAGGACAAATGTGTGACATCAGGAAATGGGCAAGGAACAATGTTAGGAGGTGTGCAACTCAAGCAGTCAGGTTTTATTTGACTAAAAAACACACATATTTGAAAGTAGTGACCTCTCTCTTGGTAAACATCAGGCTAGACAAGGCAGTAAGGCAGAAGTGGAGATCTTACTTAAAAATCCAAAGGAAATGGCCCTGTGACTCATCTATTTGATTATAAGATGGAGCTGGTGGCCTGCCATAATGTGTTTCAAACCTTGGAAACAGCATTAGGAGGAGCTTGGATTATTTGAGGAGTGATTGGGCAAAAGTACCTCTGAGCTGAGTGAGGGGAAAATAGGTAGGGCCAGGGCCTCCAGATGTCTTTTGGACAAGGACTGCCACGCCATGAATATGGAGCCCAGGAGGCAGGCAGGCAGCCTCAACCGTGACCTCTCCATGCACAGCTTCACGCAGCACAGTGCAAAGGACACATTTGACTCATCATGTGTGGATGATCTGAGTCACAGCCAAGATGATGATGTTGATGAGGCTGGAAGGAGCTGACGTTTATTTAGCTTTGTCACATGGAAGCACATGCAGACCTACTGACCCCAAAAGATGACTCAGGCTTATTAGAGCTTGAGAGGACCTTCAATGTCAGGTCCCTCACATCCTTTTCAGACAGAGAAAATGATGCCCTGACAAGTGTGACGTGCTCTGGGTGACTCAGTAGCCCAGCTGCCCTGAAACCTGGGCTCCAGATCCCAGCTCAAGGTCTTTCCCACAAGCCTGTAGTGCTGCCACTTGGTTCCACATCAGGATCAGGCAGCTCCCCCACTTCCCAGCTCTTCAGAGACAGGCTCTTTTGTCCTCTTGCTTAGCCCTTACTTCTTGTCCTTATGCCACGCTCCAGACGTGGCTCTTTTGAGAACACCAATCAAAATGTACTTGTCCCAGCTTCAGACTTTTGCCAGATGAAAGAATTGTGTTAGAGATGTCGATGCGTGCTAAAATCCTACATCCAGAGAATGCTGGGCTTGGGTAAAAGCCTTAGATGCTAGTCCTGGCCTGGCTAATTATTAGTGAGCTTTTAAATCCTCCTCTATAAAGTAAGAATAATGATGCCTGCCTTACAGGGTTTTTAAAACTGAGATGAGTAAAAATGATTTGTGATCTCTAAAGCGCACTTGAATCTCTGCAGGGTTATTAAGGGGCCATGCACCTATGGGGCGGCATAAGGATTTGTTTGCACTTCAGTTTCACCAGTGTTTGAGAGAACGACAGGCATGTATTCAGCTGGCACAGGGAAGAGATCCTCGGGAGCAGTGGACCTCTCAATGCCCACCCGATATTAGGCCCTGTTTCCAGCATGCAGACAGACACTCACCTGATTCGCTGACCTATTGTACCGGGCTTGACTGTTGTCCCTGGGAATGTATAAATCCAGCTTAAAAACAGCAGTTGGGAAAATGCCAACTCTATCTCTTTTGGCAGGAAGAGAAGGGGACTCTTCATTTGATTTCCTTTACTATGTCTTTGAGACTCTCTGCAGACTAGGCAATGAGAAATGCTTTTTTACATGCTGAGGAGGAAGCTGTTTGACTCCTAAAAAACTCCAGTTAAGGTGATGTGGCCCATTCCCCGGCTTTTAAGCAGAACATTGCCAACAGATGAATAAGCCTCTAGGGTATCACAGGTGCGCCCAGTTAAAATTCTGAGTACAGGGAAAAAGAAGCGGACGCGAGAAATCCATCTGCCAGTTGCCAGGGTTTGAATCCTGGCTCCACTGGTTCCCATCTGGGTAACTTGGGCAAGTAACTTTGTCTTTCCAAAGCTCAGTTTTTTCATGTGAATGGAGAATTTGAGTAACTGAATTAAAAAGTTACTCAAAAACTTTTAGCTTTTTTTTGAGGCAGTGTCTCCCAAAGTGTTGGGATTACAGGCGTGAGCCGCCGCACCTGACCACTTTCAGCTATATTTTATTATTTTCTTTATTCACATGAAAACCAAGAGCCTTCAGGGATTTGTCCTTGGAGGAATTCTGGAAGTAGGGACCAGTTGTCTAACCAGAGACTCTTCTGCTCTATTATCCTAAATTTGCATCCTCCCCTTAGTACCATTCTCATGGGTAATCCAGCCGTAATGCCCCAGCCAAAGGAGTTCTCTTGAGCAGCTGAGATCAGGCTAAAATTTTCAAAAAGCCTTTATTCAGTTCTGAGGTTGCTAAGCAACCTGTATTCAGCGTGTAAACAATATAGTCTACAGTATCAGAGGTACTTAGTCCCCTCTTGGGGCATATGTTGGGAAACGTGTTATCTCAGGCCTCCTGCCTGGATTCGTTTGCAAGCTTCCAATCCTGCCTCCAATAGAGGATTCCCCTTAAGAACCCCTCCTCAGAAGCTACTTCATAGATACTATAACGTCAAAACCCAGACAAGAAGATGCCTTCCCTACCCTCTGCAATTCTGGTGCTTTCCTCCTGAATCCTAATTTTCCAAGTGGGATACAAGCATGTTCCTTCCCTAATGACTGGTCCAATGTGTTTTTCCTCCACCTGCAGTGAGTGCTTCACATGGGATTTTTATCCTTGAAAGTGCCATAACAATGTCATAGGCCAGCGTTTCCTGAGTGTGTTCTCTGGGACCCTTGCTCTCTGTTGTATTATTTTAATGTGAATTCTGGTGAAAAGGGGGATTTCTATGGTCAAATAATTCAGGGAAAGTTAGGTTAAAGAAAGAGAAATAGTTTTCTTATTTTTATTGTGGTAAAAATACACATAACATAAAATTTACCATTTTAACCATTTTTAAAATTTTTTAAATTTTATTTTTTTTTAAAGATGGAGTTTTGCTCTTCTTGCCCAGGCTGAAGTGCAGGGGCATGACCTCAGCTCATTGCAATCTCCACCCCCTGGGTTCAAGAGATTCTCCTGCCTCAGCCTCCTGAGTAGCTGGGATTACAGGCATGTGCCACCATGCCCAGCTAATTTTGTATTTTTAGTAGAGACGGGGTTTCTCCATGTTGGTCAGGCTGGTCTTGAACTCCTGACCTCAGGTGATCCACCTGCCTTGGCCTCACAAAGCGCTGGGATTATAAGCATGAGCCACTGCGCCTGGCCTTAATTTTTTTAGAGACAGGTTTTCACTCTGTCACCGAGGCTGGAGTGCAGTGACACAATCATAGCTCACTGCAGCTTTGAACTCCTGGGCTCCCACCTAAGACTCCTCTGTAACTGGGACTACACGTGCACACTGCCACGCCTGGCTAAGTTTTAAATTTTTTGTAGAGATGGTCTCACTATGTTGCACAGGCTGGTCTCCAACTCCTGACCTTCAATGATCCTCCTACCTTGGCCTCCCAAAGTGGGGGGATTACCAGCATGAGCCACTGCGCCCAGCCCAACTTGACAATTTTTAAGTGTACAGTTTTGTTCATTAAAGAATGTTCTCATTGTTGTGTAATCAACACCACCTTCCATACTCAGATATTTTCATCATCTCAAGCTGAAACTCTGTACCCATTATAAAACAACATGCCATTTTGCCCCCTCCTCAGCCCCTGGCAACCATCATTCTACTTTGTTTGTGTGAATTTGACTACTCCAAGTACCTATATAATATTTGTCTTTTTGTGACTGGCTTCATTCACTCAGCATAATGTCTTCAAGATTCATCCATGTTGGAGCATGTATCAGAATTTCCCTTATTTTAAAGGCTAAATCTTATTCCAGCTGGCAGCAGTAGCACAAGCCTGTAGTTTCAGCTTCTGGGGAGGCTGAGGTGGGAGGACTGCTTGAGCTCCGGAGTTATAGACCAGCCTGGACAACATAGTGAGACTCCTCAATCTTAAAAAAAAATTTATTCCATTGTTTATGCCACATTTTGCTTATCCCATTGGTGACAGATAACGGGATTGCTTCCGTCTTTTGGCTATCGTGAATAACACTGCTTTGAACATGGGTGTACCAATATCTGTTTGAATTCCTGCTTTCAATTCTTTTGGGCCCAGAAGTGGAATTACTGGATCATATAGTAATTCTATTTTTAAATTTTTTAGGAACTGCCATACTTTCCGCAGAGGCTGAAGCATTTTATGTTCCTTCCAGCAATGTACGCAGGTTCCAATTCCTACACATCGTTACCAACACTTTCTATTTTCTGTGTTTTTGTTTAAAAATACATAATAATCATTCCCATTGGGTGTGATGTTGTATCTCATTGTAGTTTTGATTTCATTTCCCTAGTGGTTAGTGCTGTTGAGCACCTCTTCATGTGCGTATTGGCCATTTGCATCTCTTCTTTAAAGAAATGTCTATTCAAATTGTTTGCCCATTTTTAAACTAGGTTGTTTGTTCTTTCTTGCTATTATTGAGTTGTAGGAGTTCATTATATGTTCTGAATATTAATTATTTATTAAGCATGATTTGCAAATATTTTCTCCCATTCTGTGAATTTCCTTTACAATTTGTTGAGTGTCTTTGGAGCCATGAAGGTTTAATTTCAATGAAGTCCGACTGATCTATTTTTTTTTTTTTTGAGACGGAGTTTTGTTCTTGTTACCTAGGCTGGAGTGCAATGGCATGATCTCGGCTCACAGCAACCTCCGCCTCCTGGGTTCAGGCTATTCTCCTGCCTCAGCCTCCTGAGTAGCTGGGATTACAGGCACGCGCCACCATGCCCAGCCAATTTTTTGTATTTTTAGTAGAGAGGGGGTTTCACCATGTTGACCTGGATGGTCTCAATCTCTTGACCTTGTGATCCACCCACCTCGGCCTCCCAAAGTGCTGGGATGACAGGCGTGAGCCACCGCACCCAGCCCTGATCTATTTTTTCTTTTGTCGCTTGTGCCTTTGGTGTCATATTCAAGAAACAACAGCCAAAGACTTTCCCAGTGTTTTCTTCTAAGATTTTGCAGTTTTAGCTCTTATGTTTAGGTCTTTAATCCATTTTGAGTTAATTCTTGCATGTAGAATAAAGGTTCAATTTAATTATCTTTTGCTTGTGGGAAATTGGTTTCTTTCATCAACTAGAGTTCATTGTTGCAAGTAACAGCTTGAGATAGATGAACTTAAGGAAAAAGGGAAAATTATTGGAATAATTTTAGATAGTTCAAGGAATTAAAGGGAAAAGTGATTGGTCAAATCACTGGATATACAGGATCTGGGAAAGATTTAGGAGTCTTAGTACCAGGAACTATGGACAGCTTCTAAGGATGCTATGATCTGAGAGCTTCAGTTCCAGTGAATTTCTGAGCATGTAGTTCTGCACTGGTTACCACATTTGGCTAGGGGCCTGCAGGTGGGAGTGTGTGTGTGTGAGTGTGTGTGTGTGTGTGTGTGTGTGTGTGTTGAGGATGAGGCAGCATTGCCACTGAATGGTCTCAACAAACAGGACCACATGAAATGCAGGGTCCGGACGTGTAGGAGGGAGGGAGTGGTTCCTCAAAGGAAAACCCGAATGCTGTTACCGAAGGAGGGAGAAAGGAGTGCTTGGCAGGCCACGCAATAGACACCCACTCCTTTCCTTCACTGAAAATGTTCTCAGAGCTGTTGATATTGCTTTGTGAATTTTGGGTTGGGATGAATAGTATGCAGCATTTCTCATACCTATTTGTCCAAAAACCCCTCAGGTGTGTCTCACAGGATTCATGTTCCACAGAACACGCTTTGGGAAATTCTCCTCTATGCTTATAAAAAGAACAATGTTCTTATACAGACTTAATAAGAGATTTTGATAGAGCAGGTCTTTGATGGGCACTGGCCTAAACCTTGGGACAAAGGCTGATAAGGCTTTTGGAGGTAGAAAGAACTCTCTTTTTCAAAATGCAAGCCACATGCAGTGGCTCATGACTGTAATCTATTTGGGGAGGCTGATGCAGGAGGATCGCTTGAGCTGAGGAGTTCAAGACCAGTCTGGGCAACATAGTGAGACCTGTCTCTACTAAAAACAAAAAGAATTAAAAAAACAAGCAAACAGCAAAACTCAAAATGCAATAGCTGGTCTTCCAGTTTCTAAAAAAGAAGAGCGAACTTCTTCTGAAGGAGCGTACATACAACCAACACGGTTCAGTTTCCTCATCCTGATACCTTACGTTCGCCATGACTACCGCCTTAGAGCTGTGCTTTGGAAGTCCCTGTAGACACCCAGGAGAGGGTCTGGCTATGTGGCCAGGCAGGTATCGGCATGACCTTGGCCAGATGCCTGCTTTGCTAACTCTTGAGTATCTGACAGCTGCTGGCTCGGGGTAATTGGGGATGGAAAGATGCGGGGGCTGGGAAGGGGCCTGTGTTCCCAGGACACAGCTGTGAATCCATTGCTGATTTGGGGATCTTTTGTGACTTTCAGAATTGGTGCCTTTTTGTTTTCTGTTGCCAGCACCTTTCGGCTTCTCCAAACAGCAAGCAGGTTTCAGTATTTCTACTGTTTCAT